AATGGCTGGGCAGCCTGGGCCCAGTCACGTCGGCCTGTACAGTGAACCGTCACAGAGACTGTCTCGTGTGTAGATAAGTGCTCCACCCTGACTGAAACTGAGGGCGACCTGCTCGGGATGCCACCTCTGAGGGCTGATTAAAATGGGACGTTCCCTTCTCCTCCCACTTCTCCTTGGAGCAAACATACTGGAAACCGTTCTGTGAACTCTTTCCTCTTCTCCAAGCTGTGGCTACTTCGTTCTCAAGCACGGGCGGAGTGTGGAGGACGGGAGGGAGAGGCTGGGACTTCAAGGGTGCGGGTTCCTAGAATGAGATGACTTGAGTGGGCTGCATGCAAATGATGTTCCTCTTCCCTAACACCCGAGCCAGCCCGCTCCGTCTGTGACCTGGCGGAGCTGATCACTGTCCTGGGAGGACACATTCAGAACGGCTCTTCAGAAGAACGGCCTGGGCTGAGAATTGATCTGCTGGGGAATGATTTGAAAAGTGGAATGTAAAGCTCCAGCAGGTGCTAGAAAATCACCCAGTGGGGTTAGTTGTCCAGGATGAAGACTGTTTTCTTCTGTGCCGTCGCGTCTTCTGCTGGCTGCCTTTGCACCGCTTGCCCTCCCGCCCCCGTTCTGTGCCGCTGGCTGGCCCCGTGGCCAGCAGCGCTGCTGACCGGCAGCACTGTCCCAGGCACGGAAACAGTCAGGGGTTAACCGCGGGTACGGGAATGAGGAGCACGTGCACAGGAACGTTCTTTTATAGGGGAGGAATAAGCGAAGAAAGAGCACAGAATTGGATTCATGAGGACGTCGTGCTGTTCTCACGTCGTAATTTTTGTGACGCTCTCGTCATTTGCGTGTTTGCGCAGGGGTCATTTTTCTGACGGATTTGGGGCTGGATCTTCAGCCCTCCCTTGAATTATCCGTCCTTCTGTGAGAGAGAGCAGCTGTGTGGCCACGGGCAGGGTGGGTGGTCCAGCCAGCTGAGGGGTCTGTGCCTGGGACTCAGCAGTCAGCGTGGCTTGTTTGATAGCAGGGGGTGACTGGCCGAAAGTGTGTTGAGGGGGATGCAGATGTCTCAGTTCAATCCCTCGCTTAGACCTATCTCTGGCCCCCACATTGGAGAGGGAGGATGAGGGCTGGGGTGTTTGGGGCTGTGGATTGGGAGAAGGGTAAAAAATTAAGGAATACAGTCTACTTAAGTTGGGAGGAGAGAAGAAGGTGGAAGGGTGCTAGGGCAGAGTATGGCTGTGCTGCGGGAAGGCATTTCACACCTCCTTTGTGGAATACACAAGCTTCCTTGACTGTTGGTGCCATAGGTGTCGCTGTTTTGTGGGTAGGGACAGTATCCAATGGGTCTAGAAGAATAGTTGGCATGAGGCTCCACCCACTCACCCATCCATCCACCCATCCATTTGTTCATCCATCCATCCATCTATTCATCCATCTGTTGATCTGCCCATCCATCCATCCACCCATCCATCCATCCACCCATCCAGCCACCCATCCAGCCACCCATCTATTCGTTCATCCATCCATCCATTAATCCATCCATCCACCCA